AGATGTATCTTTTAGACAATCTAAAAATTCTAAAATATGTTCGCTTTTCCGCAAAAATGCAAAAAATCGTATTTAAAACACAGAAATCAAGTTTTTCTGGATGATTCTTAACCTCCTTTTTCCGCGGAAAAGAATTTCCAAAAATCCCTTCTTATTGTACATTTTCATGACGTACTGTACAGTACTATAACTGTGTACCATATTGTAACTTTCAACTTCTAACCGATTGTGTTCTGCGCTTATTATTATTAATATTAACCCATCTCGATTATAGGCTATATATAGATAAATATCTGTAATAACGTATTATGAGTTAATTTAACAGCGAATGTTAAGATAAAGAAATAAGTGAAGTAAACAGTCAAAACAACAATAATTGTTTTTCTTTCCAACAAATAAATAAACAAGAGGCAAGTAAATAAATAGCAATTATCGGTTTATTTAGCCAGTGTGTCTTAATTATTAATATTTGATGCGTATCAAATAAGACATAGCGTTAAGTGTCTTATTTTATACACATGGGAACAAGCAACTGTTCCAAAGCAACCATTCTTAAAGTAACTTTAAAGCACCGCAATATAAGTCTCTCATAGGCTAGTAATTTTGTAAATTAATAGGGCACTCAACGTAGACATTTCTAATTTGCCGGCATTCGCTAAACACTATCGCAAATTTCTTTCCCTCCCTCTGTAAAAATCACCGTTGCTATGTCAGTCTTTGTTGAAAACGATAAAACATTCTCAATTAAAAGTTGTACTACATGAAAAATAAGTAATAATTCTGCTAAGTGTAATCTGAAATATTAAGAAGGAATTTAGAACAGGCTTTCACGAATGAATCGATTAAATATTAAAGAACTCGGTTTAAAAGAAACTGTTGTTTCCATGCTGTATNCATTGCTGTCTCGGCTAAGAAAATCCCAAAATTTAATATTTCGTATAAAGCGCACAATATAAGTTAAATTTACTTTAAAAATCAGTTAATTTATATTATCATATTTTCAATTGTTTTGTTGTTTTAATCATATGTATTTTTGGTTTTTTGAGGGATGTAAAGGGCTGCTTTACTTTTATCACTGCTTTTCAGAGTAGCGAATATGTGGACTTTATTTTTTATATCAATTATACAGCAACCGGATAGTCAAAAATGGGACCATAAACGTTAATTCTGCTTAGTTAAGTAACTTTTCGACCATCTCGTATTTTGATACAGAAGACAGTGATTTCATAACCAACAGTTTTTGCATTAATTTTTATTGTTTAATGCTCGTATTAAAAAAATGCATGATTTTAAAACTTGTTCAAATTTTCTGTAGTAATTTCTATATTAAAATGTAAAAGAATAACTTTTCCTGAATTCTTACCTCGTTATTTTTTTTCCTTTATCTCCTTTAACAATATTGTGACAAGCTGGATAAAGCCTATCTCATTTACATGATATTCACAAAATCCCCATTCTATATAACTAGACATTAAACTGATTTTATCTTTTTATTTTTATATTAACATTTTTTATGTTTTAATATAATAAAACATTGAAATGGTTGCAACAAAACTACATCCTGAAAAAAATTCTGAATAACTCTATTCTGATGAAAAAGGGAAGTTTAGTTTCCTTTCAGAGACACCTTGTCTTGATTTTTTTCAACCATCTGGAGAAGTGACATAACTGATCATCCCGTGAGATGGTGGTTTTCTTAAATAATGATTGGTGGTAAGCAAAAGGCAAATTTCTATACACTCGAGGCAGTTCGTGCCACATAGGGCAGTCTACGACAGAAGTATTTGCCATACAGAAGCAGTTCTTGCCACGTAGGGAGTTCCTCGACAAGTTGTCAAGTGCTACTCCTCCTGCTACACCTCCTGCTCCCACCGTCCAACCTCCTATCGCCTCTGAACCGGCTATCATTGGCATCTCCCAACAAAAGTAAATGTCCAATGAGGTTACATTAACTTATTGTGAACTCTCTCTCTCAACATAGGGAATTTAAGTCCAATGTATATTCATTTTGTATTTTATTTGTCTGTTTTACTTTATTAAATTGTTTACTTTGATATTATGAATGGCCTTCTTAGTTTATTACCGATTTGCACAACCCCACAGAGAATTTTACCACTCGAATTCTATTAGATTAAGCCATCCAGTGACAAGGTGAGCGGATCCCTCAGATCTGACGATTAGCGGGCCTTGACCCCTCGTCCGTATTCTCACAATATCCTGCAACATTCATGCGTAAATTAGCAATGAGAACAAAATTCAGACCGTAATAAATTCAATTGTTAGAAGTTCTGTAAAGGAAATTTTATTTAAATGTCTATCTTAATCTTAATTGATCTTCATCAAGTGCCATTCAGGCAGACTCGTCTTAGATTCGACTGGTGGAAAAGAATAGAATCCGACATATTCTTATGAAAATTGCAAAAGAAAAATTTCTGTAGTTCTTCGACTGTCTGCGTTCCTTAATAGTTATCTCCGCGATCCGCTCATATTAATATTCATAACACTTACCCACAATAAATTCTGGAGCTTGGTCAAGTGTACCTGCATCTACATCCTAAAAATTCAAATTTATATAACAGCATACATGATAACATGAAAAACCCAGGATATTTACAATTAAAAATTGAATTATGACTATTTACAAAAATTTTTTAATTTTTCGAGTCTATCTTTCATCCTTTTAACACACCACAGAAGTAACAGTATATTGGCCTGGATGAAACAAGCTACGCCCATGTCTATGATGTCTTTTTTTACATGTTATTGTACAGCGCTGTATAATTGACCAAAAGTTGCTATTCGATGAACATTGACAACAACAAAATTCACAAACCTAACCCTGGCGAATACTCTTGGTATTCGCCAGGGTTCGGTTTCTAAAAATCTCGTGAAAACAAAATAAGGATGCTTATGAAGAAAATTTTGTTTTTTCTTTTGTAGAACATTTCAAAGATAAACGTTAATTGTAAAATAAAATATTACAAATTTTCTAAATGTTATTGTACAGTGCTGTATAATTGACTAAAAGCCACTATTCGATGAACATTGACAATAACAAAATTCACAAACCTAACCCTGGCGAATACTCTTGGTATTCGCCAGGGTTAGGTTTTTAAAAATTTCGTGAAAACAAAATAAGGATGCTTGTGAAGAANCATTTATGTCAAGAGAATAATTTATCTTTGTATGTAAGAAAAGACTGTGTTTTTTAGTTTCTTTGGATACTTTCACTTTAGCCTGATTAGGAAAATATTGAAAAGACAATCGCAGAGGTTTTAGAAACGAAAACAGCAGTCAGACTGATGTTTTATCAGACAATCGTTAAATAGAGGAAGTCATTAAAAATGTAATAAATGTTAGAAATGTAGACTACAAACGTGTACTTTGTCTACTGCAGAAGTTCACAATCAAATCACCAGCAACTGTTAATCGATCTGCAGATCGATAAATTACTATAAAATTTCGGGGAAGTTGGAAAAATTTACAATTATCAAATCAAAAGTAAATTAACAAATCAATTGAGAATAAATAAACATATTGATAAACTCAAATGTTAAACTAAAAAAAATTGTAATTGGGTGAATTTATATTTAACTCCGCAAGGAATTAGGGTGAAAAGTTGGCAAGAAAGCAGTTCGTATAAAATGAATGACGTCAGTTTATAATTATTTTATTTCTAAATAACATAATGTATAAAATTGTTTATAAAACTGAACAGGTTCTCTCTGTAATTAAAGAAATGTTTTCTTCGTTCAAAGTCATAAATTCTTCAATAAAAATAAAGCGACTCGTGTCAATTGCAAATAAATTAGGAAATTAAGACCAAAACGGTCAGATGTTTAGAATTCTATTGAATTATAAAGAAAATTATATGATTATTGTACACATTTGTTTGTCTCTTAATGTAAGGCCATTCTTTTACTTCAAAATCATTTATTCGATCAATCACAAAATCACAACAAAGAAATTAAGAAACGTTCAATCAAAATGGCTGTAAATATTCTGTAATTTTTAATTATACAACGATATAAAATTAAAATACTAGCAAAATATCAAAGGAAACAATTCTGTTGAATTACGATAAAAAATCTCTATTTAAAAAGAAATACTTAAATTTAAAATACACTAATACGCATTTGCTCAACGTTAAAATGTGCCTGGCTCCATCTCTTACAGGATTTTACTCACAACTCATTTTTATATTACTAATTATTACAAAGAGACATGATTTTTCAGGAAAAAGAAGTTTTTAAAAATATTGCAAATGCCAATGAGAAATAAAAATTTTCATTAAGTTCGTCTCCACTCGAGATATAGGCCTAACATATGACCTTCCTCTATCTACCCGCTGTCTATTTTTCTGATGAATGAATCCTTTTGACTTATTCTTATTTATTCTACATAAAATTGCAACACTTAGTAAAGAATTTTGAAGTTTTTACAAGAAGAGATTTAGTGTTTAAATCTTCACTTTCATTGTAATAAAGTTCCATTTCGATTAAAAATCACAAATTGATTTGTTTTCAAGAATCTTTGTCAATAATTACTTCAAATATTTCATTTATGCAGACTTTTTAAAAAATCCTTGACAAAAGGTAGGTTAGTTATGTCGATCAAACGAAAAAATCACGAGATATTATTACATGCCTGTAAACATAAAATATCTAAATGATGTGAAGTGTTCCAAGAACGTGTTCGACTTAAAGTAGATTTTTATTTTTAAGAGATTTTTATTTTAAAAACCTTAATGACATTCATTTATATTACACATAAACATTTCTGTAATCGATACGAATTTAATTCCTTCTGCAAATAGAGAAACTTGAAAAGTCTGACCTCTCTGTTTAATGGCTCATTAATGTTGTTATAATTGGTGGAAACAGATGGATCGAACATGCAGAATCCACGTGTACGCGTTGTACCTGTTCGCATTGGATGTGTATAAATATCGACTTCTGCTCGTGGTAACTCATTCTAAACTCGTTTAGATACCATCGAAGATGAACTCGTTGTTGATGATCACTGCTTGTTTGGTTCTGATCGGTGAGTATGAACTTATAATTGATTGAATTGGTTGTTAATTTTATAAATGACACAATTTAGTATCGCTATAATTTATTAAAAAGTTATGAAATTCGCGTTGTATTTACTACATTACATTATATATATTTATATATTTTTGTGGAAATGAAAACACTCGCAGATTATAGCATGTTCTTTCATATATGACTTAAATCGAAATTCATATTTACAGAAATATTTTGTTGAAAAATTATAAAACTTTAGATAAACTGATTCTAGTGTTTTAGAAAATGGAACGATTTGTATTAAATTGATCGAAATGTCATAACTTTTATTAAAGTTGATTTATTTACGTGTTATGAGATCTGCACTCGATTAGTGGATGACAATGCAACACAACGGCAATCTTCCAAGAAGGTATTATTTTCAGGGGGATATTCTACGAGTCACTAATCTCTATTGTCTTAATCTTAATCTGTATTACTCTAGTACTTTAATCTCTTATTTAGGACCTGTAAAGTAAATCAGTTTAATGTTGTTACTACTTAACCAGTGATGGTCTTTTTATATAAGTATGAATATGTTGACCTGTCTAATTGAGTGGCAATTGTTTTATTTTAGTGATTGATTGCTATTTGATTTATAGAATTCTCTAAGTATTTGCAGTCACTCCTATGTGTTGACTTGACACAAGTGAGATGATATAATAACATCATAAATTTAGTTTCATAAGAAATTAGAATAGTTGCATTTTCAAGATTTTCTATTATAATGTCGTTTTTCTGGATAGACAAGTCGCCGATAAATACAAAGTTACGAATGACACATCATCTTCCTAGTGTTTAAAATAGCATATTTATAATCAGGAATATTTTCAGTTTTTATAGTTCATGTGATAAAATAATAATGTACTTTTTTGACACATTTTGAGTACAAAGCATTGAATATTTTAATTTAATTGTATAAATAAGTATTACTTTTTACGGTTGAACAAGACTATTTCTTTGTATTTGTTGCAGGAACAGTGTGGGCAAAAGATCTGGTGAACATGATCACATGTGAACATGATCTGGTGAACATGAGCACAGGCTGCAAATACGAGTGCTTTGTTTTGGGAAAAAACACTTACTGCAATACGGAATGCAAAACGCCGAACCAAGGAGGTATTTACGGCTATTGTAAGGCTTTTGCGTGTTGGTGCGAAGGTTTGCCCGAAAGTACACCGACTTATCCCATTTATTATAAAACATGCAGCAAAAAATAATGCCAACGTCTTGTTATTGTCCGACAACAGAAATATTGTTACACTTCTTAATTGCAATTAAACGAAATAAAATGTACAGTACATTCATCTGAGATATCTTTATTATGTGATATACAGTTTACAGAACACAGAAGTATTATGAATACTTTTCGTATGAAATCGTTTAACTTTCAATTATAAAATATAATACCCTATGTTTATTCTCGTCTTATAAATGAATCTAACCAACTTGATTCGAAAGACAGGCAGGACCCAATTAACTCGTTTATTAGCCTAAATTTACATTTATAAATATCTCTTAAATATAAATGTAAGGGCCTAGCCGGGGATACGGTATTGGTAAAACTCATGTACCGCTTAATCGGCTGTCCTGTTGGAGAAACAGGCCCGCAGCCGTCTAAGGATAGCTTCCTAAGACGTTTATTATGATTAGGGCTCTTGTGAACTCCAGGACGTTGGTTTTTCCTGACACCAGATAGTCAATTTGCAGACTATCACGCATTTGTGAGGAATTTCGAGTAAGAGAGTCGCGAGTAAGTGGAATCCACGAAGGCATTGGATTTGGTCATTAACGAGACTATATTATAAACAAATAAATTTAATTGAATCAAACGACATAATAATACAATTAATAGGATTAAAAATTACATATTCTAGACCTACCTCGCGGAGAGAAATAAACTATCTAACTTAATCTTAATTAACCTGTACGCGTGAGAGAGAGTTTACATTAATTTTAAAACCATACTACTATCACAATATGAAGCTTATTCTTGTCTTCGGTCGTCTTTCCGTTCGGGATATGGGAGAAAGTTGAGAATCGTAACTTTAATGCGCGCATTATAAAAATATTTCTGGCTTCTTATGTGGCCGTACTGCATAAATTATATGGCAACTTTTTCTTATGAACTGCCAAATTTTATGGTAATCTTCCTCTGAATAACTACCTCGATTGGCGGGGAAAAGTCCCTATTTATAGACGGCTTTCCAAGCGGCCTGATTCATCAGCGAGTCGGCTGTCTAAAGGAACTTCAACTTCTCTTCTCTCCGAAATTGATGGATGTTANTTATGACTTTGAACGAAGAAAACATTTATTTAATTACAGAGTAAACCTGTTCGGTTTTATAAACAATTTTATACATTATGTTATTTAGAAATAAAATAATGTACAGTATAAACTGACGGCATCTATTTCATAGGAACTGGTTTCTTGGCTATCTGCCATTTAAACTTCTGCAGTGTTAGAGCTAGAAATCTCTCAAATACATTTTTTTTTACTTTAACATATGAGTTTATCAATTTGTTTATTTATTTTCTATTGATTTGTTAATTTACTAATTATTGTTATTTTTGGCCTGATAAAATTTACATGTACTACCTGTACCATTATAATTTAAATGGTTATATTCCATTTTGTATTGCAAGCAGCAAATGCACATTTATGTCAAGAGAATAATTTATCTTTGTATGTAAGAAAAGACTGTGTTTTTTAGTTTCTTTGGATACTTTCACTTTAGCCTGATTAGGAAAATATTGAAAAGACAATCGCAGAGGTTTTAGAAACGAAAACAGCAGTCAGACTGATGTTTTATCAGACAATCGTTAAATAGAGGAAGTCATTAAAAATGTAATAAATGTTAGAAATGTAGACTACAAACGTGTACTTTGTCTACTGCAGAAGTTCACAATCAAATCACCAGCAACTGTTAATCGATCTGCAGATCGATAAATTACTATAAAATTTCGGGGAAGTTGGAAAAATTTACAATTATCAAATCAAAAGTAAATTAACAAATCAATTGAGAATAAATAAACATATTGATAAACTCAAATGTTAAACTAAAAAAAATTGTAATTGGGTGAATTTATATTTAACTCCGCAAGGAATTAGGGTGAAAAGTTGGCAAGAAAGCAGTTCGTATAAAATGAATGACGTCAGTTTATAATTATTTTATTTCTAAATAACATAATGTATAAAATTGTTTATAAAACTGAACAGGTTCTCTCTGTAATTAAAGAAATGTTTTCTTCGTTCAAAGTCATAAATTCTTCAATAAAAATAAAGCGACTCGTGTCAATTGCAAATAAATTAGGAAATTAAGACCAAAACGGTCAGATGTTTAGAATTCTATTGAATTATAAAGAAAATTATATGATTATTGTACACATTTGTTTGTCTCTTAATGTAAGGCCATTCTTTTACTTCAAAATCATTTATTCGATCAATCACAAAATCACAACAAAGAAATTAAGAAACGTTCAATCAAAATGGCTGTAAATATTCTGTAATTTTTAATTATACAACGATATAAAATTAAAATACTAGCAAAACATCAAAGGAAACAATTCTGTTGAATTACGATAAAAAATCTCTATTTAAAAAGAAATACTTAAATTTAAAATACACTAATACGCATTTGCTCAACGTTAAAATGTGCCTGGCTCCATCTCTTACAGGATTTTACTCACAACTCATTTTTATATTACTAATTATTACAAAGAGACATGATTTTTCAGGAAAAAGAAGTTTTTAAAAATATTGCAAATGCCAATGAGAAATAAAAATTTTCATTAAGTTCGTCTCCACTCGAGATATAGGCCTAACATATGACCTTCCTCTATCTACCCGCTGTCTATTTTTCTGATGAATGAATCCTTTTGACTTATTCTTATTTATTCTACATAAAATTGCAACACTTAGTAAAGAATTTTGAAGTTTTTACAAGAAGAGATTTAGTGTTTAAATCTTCACTTTCATTGTAATAAAGTTCCATTTCGATTAAAAATCACAAATTGATTTGTTTTCAAGAATCTTTGTCAATAATTACTTCAAATATTTCATTTATGCAGACTTTTTAAAAAATCCTTGACAAAAGGTAGGTTAGTTATGTCGATCAAACGAAAAAATCACGAGATATTATTACATGCCTGTAAACATAAAATATCTAAATGATGTGAAGTGTTCCAAGAACGTGTTCGACTTAAAGTAGATTTTTATTTTTAAGAGATTTTTATTTTAAAAACCTTAATGACATTCATTTATATTACACATAAACATTTCTGTAATCGATACGAATTTAATTCCTTCTGCAAATAGAGAAACTTGAAAAGTCTGACCTCTCTGTTTAATGGCTCATTAATGTTGTTATAATTGGTGGAAACAGATGGATCGAACATGCAGAATCCACGTGTACGCGTTGTACCTGTTCGCATTGGATGTGTATAAATATCGACTTCTGCTCGTGGTAACTCATTCTAAACTCGTTTAGATACCATCGAAGATGAACTCGTTGTTGATGATCACTGCTTGTTTGGTTCTGATCGGTGAGTATGAACTTATAATTGATTGAATTGGTTGTTAATTTTATAAATGACACAATTTAGTATCGCTATAATTTATTAAAAAGTTATGAAATTCGCGTTGTATTTACTACATTACATTATATATATTTATATATTTTTGTGGAAATGAAAACACTCGCAGATTATAGCATGTTCTTTCATATATGACTTAAATCGAAATTCATATTTACAGAAATATTTTGTTGAAAAATTATAAAACTTTAGATAAACTGATTCTAGTGTTTTAGAAAATGGAACGATTTGTATTAAATTGATCGAAATGTCATAACTTTTATTAAAGTTGATTTATTTACGTGTTATGAGATCTGCACTCGATTAGTGGATGACAATGCAACACAACGGCAATCTTCCAAGAAGGTATTATTTTCAGGGGGATATTCTACGAGTCACTAATCTCTATTGTCTTAATCTTAATCTGTATTACTCTAGTACTTTAATCTCTTATTTAGGACCTGTAAAGTAAATCAGTTTAATGTTGTTACTACTTAACCAGTGATGGTCTTTTTATATAAGTATGAATATGTTGACCTGTCTAATTGAGTGGCAATTGTTTTATTTTAGTGATTGATTGCTATTTGATTTATAGAATTCTCTAAGTATTTGCAGTCACTCCTATGTGTTGACTTGACACAAATGAGATGATATAATAACATCATAAATTTAGTTTCATAAGAAATTAGAATAGTTGCATTTTCAAGATTTTCTATTATAATGTCGTTTTTCTGGATAGACAAGTCGCCGATAAATACAAAGTTACGAATGACACATCATCTTCCTAGTGTTTAAAATAGCATATTTATAATCAGGAATATTTTCAGTTTTATAGTTCATGTGATAAAATAATAATGTACTTTTTTGACACATTTTGAGTACAAAGCATTGAATATTTTAATTTAATTGTATAAATAAGTATTACTTTTTACGGTTGAAGAAGACTATTTCTTTGTATTTGTTGCAGGAACAGTGTGGGCAAAAGACGGTTATCTGGTGAACATGAGCACAGGCTGCAAATACGAGTGCTTTGTTTTGGGAAAAAACACTTACTGCAATACGGAATGCAAAACGCCGAACCAAGGAGGTATTTACGGCTATTGTAAGGCTTTTGCGTGTTGGTGCGAAGGTTTGCCCGAAAGTACACCGACTTATCCCATTTATTATAAAACATGCAGCAAAAAATAATGCCAACGTCTTGTTATTGTCCGACAACAGAAATATTGTTACACTTCTTAATTGCAATTAAACGAAATAAAATGTACAGTACATTCATCTGAGATATCTTTATTATGTGATATACAGTTTACAGAACACAGAAGTATTATGAATACTTTTCGTATGAAATCGTTTAACTTTCAAATATAAAATATAATACCCTATGTTTATTCTCGTCTTATAAATGAATCTAACCAACTTGATTCGAAAGACAGGCAGGACCCAATTAACTCGTTTATTAGCCTAAATTTACATTTATAAATATCTCTTAAATATAAATGTAAGGGCCTAGCCGGGGATACGGTATTGGTAAAACTCATGTACCGCTTAATCGGCTGTCCTGTTGGAGAAACAGGCCCGCAGCCGTCTAAGGATAGCTTCCTAAGACGTTTATTATGATTAGGGCTCTTGTGAACTCCAGGACGTT